CATCAACTTCAATCTCTCTCACTCTTAATGCGGAATCCGATTAACACCGGAATCCGCCATGGAAGATGAATAAGATCCGGTCTCTCCGCTGCCTCCTCCCGGAGACCATAACCTCCGCCGCATCTAATCGAGGATCTGACACCGGAATCGGTAGCCAAGTCAGCTTCCTCCTATGGCGGCATCAGATCCTAGACCCAGACAGCAACATCGTCACGTATTGGAACCACGTCTTCCTAATCACCTCAATCCTCGCTCTCTTCCTCGATCCTTTCTATTTCTACGTTCCTTACGTCGGTGGTCCGGCGTGTCTCTCCGTCGACGTCGGCCTCGCCGCTTTCGTCACCTTCTTCCGTACAGTCGCCGATCTCTTCCACCTCTTGCACATCCTCATGAAATTCAGAACCGCTTTCGTCGCTCGGAGCTCTCGGGTTTTCGGTCGCGGTGAGCTTGTAATGGATTCTAAAGAGATAGCTAAGAGGTACTTGAGGACCGATTTCTTCATTGATGTGGCTGCTATGCTTCCCCTTCCTCAGGTACCAAATTAATTTCTTCAAAATGTAGCTTCAAATTTCGCAATTTTAGGTTAAGATTTGCTCTGTATGTAATGGTTGTGAGAACTCTTGAGCTGAATTTGAATTAGATTCTGAGATTTTCCATCACTGGAGCTCTCATGCTTGTTTTTGACCATCTTTTGATCACAGCTTGTAATTTGGCTTGTAATTCCAAACGCCACAAACGGGACAGCGAATCATGCGAATAGCACTCTCGCACTTATCGTTCTTGTTCAATACATTCCAAGATCATTCATCATATTCCCTCTCAATCAAAGGATTATCAAAACAACCGGGTTTATCGCCAAGACTGCTTGGGCAGGAGCTGCATATAACCTCCTCCTATACATCCTCGCTAGCCATGTAAAGTTTCCCGTCTCTCGTGTGTCTATTCTCTAGGTGATTTCTTCAGGTTAAGTTGCTAAGAATCTTCATTTGTGGGTAGGTGTTAGGAGCACTGTGGTATTTATCATCAATTGGACGACAGTTCTCGTGCTGGTCCAATGTATGCAAGAAAGATAACGCCTTGAGAGTTTTAGATTGTCTTCCTAGCTTCTTGGATTGCAAGAGTCTGCAGCAACCTGAGCGACAGTATTGGCAGAATGTTACTCAGGTCCTTTCGCATTGCGATGCTACGAGCAGCACTACCAATTTCAAGTTTGGGATGTTTGCTGAAGCCTTTACCACTCAAGTTGCTACAACAGATTTCGTGTCCAAGTACTTATATTGTCTTTGGTGGGGTTTAAGAAATCTAAGGTATGACAACCTTTTGAACAAACAAGTTTATGGTCTCTATCTTTAGATTTGTCTTCCTTTGGTTCTAATATCGTTTTTGTTTCACAGTTCTTATGGTCAGAATATAACCACAAGTGTATATCTTGGTGAGACCTTGTTCTGTATTACAATCTGTATCTTTGGGTTGATTCTCTTCACACTCCTAATCGGTAACATGCAGGTAAGATTCAGAGCTTATTCACCACTCTGTAAAACTTCTCAATACAGAGGCATTGTTTTTGTCTTTCTAATATTGATTTTGATCTTGGTGTAAAGTCTTCTCTACAATCGATGTCTGTAAGAGTTGAGGAATGGAGAGTTAAGCGAAGAGACACTGAAGAATGGATGAGACATCGTCAACTACCTCCAGAACTTCAAGAACGTGTCCGTAGATTCGTTCAATACAAATGGCTTGCAACCCGCGGCGTCGATGAAGAATCAATCCTCCATTCTTTACCTACAGACTTACGCCGTGAAATCCAACGCCATCTCTGTCTCGCCCTTGTCCGCCGGGTACATACATTTTACTCTGTCCTCCCACAAAAAATGGTTATATGGATTGATTGTTTTCTATATTCAGAAATCACATGGTTTTGCTAAGTGCAGGTCCCGTTCTTCTCTCAAATGGATGATCAACTTCTTGATGCTATATGTGGATGCCTTGTCTCGTCTTTAAGCACAGCCGGGACCTACATATTCCGTGAGGGCGATCCAGTGAATGAGATGCTCTTTGTGATCCGAGGACAAATAGAGAGCTCAACAACAAATGGAGGAAGATCTGGTTTCTTCAACTCCACTACACTAAGACCAGGCGATTTCTGCGGCGAAGAACTTCTTACATGGGCCTTAATGCCAAACTCTACACTCAATCTTCCGTCTTCAACCCGAAGCGTACGTGCTCTCTCTGAAGTGGAAGCCTTTGCCTTAAGCGCGGAGGACCTTAAGTTTGTTGCTCATCAGTTCAAACGTCTTCAAAGCAAAAAACTGCAACACGCTTTCAGGTACATCATAGAAAAGATTCTTGTGATGGGATAAATGGGTCCGGTCCGACCCTGATTTTATAAACTGAAGCACACAGACATCAAATCTCGTGCTAAATCAAATCTTGTGCTTCCTTTTTTCAGGTATTACTCGCATCAGTGGCGAGCATGGGGAGCGTGTTTCGTCCAATCAGCATGGAGAAGATTCAAGCGAAGAAAGCTCGCGAAAGAGCTCAGCTTGCGCGAAAGCAGCGGATACTATTACACGGATGAAACAGGTTACAACGAAGAAGATGAAGAGACCAGAGAATATTACTACGGAAGCGATGACGATGATTTCGAAGGCGATAGATTATCAGAGGACAACACAAACAACAACCAAAATCTGGGAGCAACCATCTTGGCATCTAAATTCGCGGCAAACACGAGAAGAGGCACAAATCAAAAGGCTTCAAGTAGTAGTGCTGGTAAGAAAGATGGATCTTCAAGCAGTTTGAAAATGCCTCAACTATTCAAACCAGATGAGCCTGATTTCTCAATAGACAAAGAAGATGTTTAAAAGTGTAGACATTTTGGGGGAAAAAATCAACTTGTGTTCCAAAAATGCTTGGTTTTAGATAGTACATAGTTAGGAAAATCCCATTATTATTTCAACTTTAAATACTTATGTTTTGTTCGTTTCGGTTTGAGGATGTTAAATATAGCAAGAGTGTTAGAGTACAATACATTGTTCCTAAACTGTCTCAATGTTATATTGTTTGATTTTTATTTTGTCCAATCATAGATTATTTTTGCAAACTCACTATGAGACCAATCAGAAGAACAATCTGAAAGTCTTCACTAGTTTCCCCTGATTTCTTGAAGACAAAAAAATTGCAAGCTTAGAGTTCACAATGCTTGACGTTTATACCACACTAACGTAGTGTTACATCTTACGAACCCAAACCAAGCATAGTTCAATAGGTTATGAGTCTCATTGAGATTCATCATGACCACCAAGGCACGCACGAATCCGATTTTTTGTCGGTTTTGTTGGTATTATTTGCTTCATCGCTTAGACTATCAATTTATTGTCAAAATCAAAAAAGTCCCTCCGAAATTTGGAGTTGGTACTATATGGAATTTAACAAAAATATCAAGGGAAAAGGATTGACAAGCTTTTCAACTGAGCCAAACGTACTTTTATTGGTTTAAAATTCGATACAAACCGGTTCGGTTATCAAATCCTCAATTTTTTATTCATCACTTGGTAACTTATTAACATCATTTGGCTCATCACTTTTTTTACATAGCTCTTCAAGAAGCGAGTCCAAATTCTTCCAAGACGAACCGGTCCGTTGACCCAAAGCTTTTTTCGCCATTTCCGCATACTCTTTCACATTCTTCCTCGCAAAATTTTCCATCTCTCCTTCCATCAATTCTTTAACCTAAATAGTACCCAAAGAAAATGAAACAAACGTTAAATAGTAAAACCGACGTTACTATATTTACTGTCATAATCTAACATTAAGATTCATTCAAAACATTTTGATATTTACCTTTCGACTAAGTTCTTCTCTTGTCACAAACCCTTTCACATTTCCATCAGTAGTTTCAATTCTTACTCCGATCTTTAGCTCCTCCACTACCAACTTTGCGTTGAGCGGCTGCTCGGCCATCATTGGCCAAGCGAGCAGCGGGATCCCCGTACAAATACTCTCTTGCACGGAGTTCCATCCACAATGGCTCAAAAACCCTTTGACACTTTCATGTGACAATATCTCCCATTGGTCAACCCAATCTTTCACAATCATCCTATGCTCTTTCACTCTCTTTTCCAACCCTAATTCTTCAATTATATCTTCTACATCTCTTCTCGTGATCCACAAATAGTTCATCTTTATTAAACAATGAATAAAAGTCACGTAAATCAATTAAATATTTTATTTATCAAGTCCACGTATACATTAATGACTAAGGCTTAATTTAATGCCAACTTCTACGTTTTTTTTTGTTTTTCGCATTCTATATTAGATACTCCCTCAGTTTTAAAATAGTTAAAAATCTGTTTTACCCTTAATTTTTAATACAATGTTTTATTTGATATGAGTAATTAATAAAATTAAAAATAATGACAAAAATAAAAAAAATTGTCATAAATGTGCATTGAAATTACAGAATGACAAGTAATATGAAATAAATAAAAATTAAAGTTAGAATGACAACTAATATGAATGGAGGGAGTATTTAAATGTTTTATGGGTTGATACCAAAAATAGATACTTACAAGCATAGAATTATCAAACAGTTTAAAAAGAATTTATAATCACATGTATTATTTCAACAAGATATTTATCAAAATTATACACATTTTCACTCCTAATTTCTATGGATGAAAACCAAGCACTGGCCTATGCAGCGGCTCAATTTAATTTTGGAAAAAAAATTTGAAAAAATTATGGGGTATATAGAAAAAATTATGGGGGTATATAGATATAAATGAAAAACTATGACTTTTTGGAAAGTTTTAAAAATTTGGGCCTTAAAATAAAAAGAAAAAAAATATGGGGCATGTACAGTTGGACACTTGGCTCCCCCATATCGCCTGTCTTGGGCCTATGAAAACCAAGCACTGGGGACTAGGCCTGGATGCCGATCGGAATGGGGTCTGGGAAAGGATCCCCAGAGTCCAAAAAAATGCAGTATTTGTGATTTAATTTGTTTTTGACTGATATCTAATTTTCCGATTTGTTTTGTTTCGAAAAATTTCGGATATCCGGGTTGTCGGATATTCGGATTTTTTCTAGATATTTGCGGATATCCGTATTTTTCGCGGATATCTTTTTTAAACAAAAAAAAATTAAAAAACACCATAACATTTTTTTCAAAAAAAAAGTTTTAATATAAAACTTAAACTAATTAAGAAATAAATATATGAAATGGGTCTACTTTTATTCGATAAATTATT